AAATAAAAATAATAAAAGCACTTTGTATCTATTTCCAGAACGCTATTCTCCAACAATTTGGGATCATTTTAGGGGTGCTCTACATTAAAAGCCATCTTTGGGCAGTCATGCAACACCCCTAAACTCTAAGGAAATGAGAACTTTGCCAGTTTTGCAAAGTTTGTAAAAAATATAATTTCTAAGCTGTCCAAACAAGTGACGATTCAAAGCACCACCATAAAGGACACGGAGTCCGAATTCAAACTTCTGGACAAGGCAGAGATCAAGCACATGCTGTTCAACTGAAAAGATTCTGAGAAAATTACAAGCAACAGCAAATGGAGCTTCAAGCTAGTTTTTGTCTTGCAGCCCCAACAGCTGAGTAATGTACAACTTGAAGAAGACTGAGCACGACACCTCCAAAAATACATTCTTGCCAGTCCATCAGCCTCCCTCCATTTCTTTCACTCCAGTCTCTCAGCACAGTAGTCAAATGGAGACCCTGACACAGTGCTAATGAAATCTCAAAATGTACTGCTACAGTCTGTACCACTAGTAAAAGCAGGATTTTATCCAACAGCAAGACTTCTCCCTTTATTGGCTTTATTTGGTTGCACTATACATATCCAAAGGTTTCTCAGTCTGTGTACCTCATTAGTATACAGTAGAGAACAACAGTCAACAGAGAAACAGTAAATATTTAATAAACCCCAAGCCTTACAATATTTTATCAACAAAATCAACCCCAGTGTTTCTTATCAGAGTAAAAAGGCATTCAATTTCCTTGTTAATCTGGAAGCCTTCAAAGTACCCCTGTCCAAACTAGCTTTCTGTGATTAAACTCATGTTAGACTGCTGTAACCTCCTGAAACATGACTTCAGGGTGTCTCTAGCAACTGGCAACGCAACGAAAAATGATTTTGCATTCATTTGCAGTCAGTGCTGGCATGTCACATAGCTGGCCTCTTCCAGCACCTAAAACTTACACCAAGGTACTGGACAGAGCTATTCAGTACTCCCCCACAGATCAGCTGATAAGGCCTGAGGCCTCAAAAAAACCTGTGTAACAAACAAACCAAGAAAGTAAAGAATGGAAATATAGTCCTCTTGTCTAGCTCCAGCACAGAACAGCCACCAACTGATTCACAAGCTGTGGTACACAGTACTGTCCTAAACCTGAGAGGCTTCCTGGAGGACCCAACTGTAGGAACTGCCTCCAGACAGCTCAAAAATTGGAACAATGGGACTTACCAGTTGTTCCCAAAACACTATGTTCATGCCTCCATCAGCAGATGGTAACTTGTCTCCACATACATTGGAGACCACAGCAAATACATCCCTCCCTTGGAAAAAAGTTTCTGATACAGCTCAGTGAGCCCACAGTGGACTGCTGAGCCACTGTGTCAAATTAAATAAGAAAAGGAAAAAGGACAAGTTCATAGGAAGGTTTCAATGTTTTCATTTTTTAATCCAGAACCATCATCTAAATCCAGAACCAAATGGAGAAAGAAATGGTTAGCAGAATTAGCTAGAAGGGTTTTTTGTTTGGTTGGGGGGGGTTGTGTTTGGTGGTGTTTGGTTTTTTTAAATACCTAAATACCGGAGTACTGCTTCTAAAGGCTTTCGAACCACTTGCTTTAATAGCAATGGGTTTTCTGATGCCTCAGGTAAACGTGCTGTGCCTGTAAAATAAGGAAAAATAATTAGAAGGTAAAGACATTTAGATATTATAGCAAAAATATATGAATAACTCAAGTGTCCTGAAAGAGCTTTCCAATCAAAAGGAATTTTACACGTTGCAAGCATGCCTTGGCAACAGGACACAAATGCAGAATGCTAAATGTAATAGCAAACATGAATATTTTAAAACAAACAATTAATGAATTTTCAAAATTACTTGTCTAGCCTACAGTGTTAGAGCACTCTGCAAGCATAGCTAGATTTTGTGAAACCAGTAGCTACATGCAAGAGAACATCTCAAGAAGTTGCAGCTCAAACTTTATAGGAAAGGAATCTCAGAGGGCTCCTTTGCCAGTAGGTCCCAGCTGCATCACCACTCACATTCTGCTTTGATTGCTGCGCTGTTAATAGGCAGATAGGGATGTCTTGCAGCATGCCAAGGGCGCAAGATATCTCGACATAATCGTCTGGCAATTCTTGTCAGTTTTGTTGTATGGAGATAGAAAGCTTGTCGTGTCTTCATAGCAAACTTGGGACTCCCGCTGTTTCGTACTGGCACACCATGAGGACTCTAGAAAGAAAGAAAAATAAATATGGTTTCTAAAAAATAATTATTAGAAAGTATAGTTTTCAAGAAGAGAAAGAATATAATATAAAATCACTTTCAACTACTGATTCACGGACACAAGATCAGAAACAGTGCTACAAGATGAAAACATTTTCAGTCCAGCTATTCCCCATTTCCCAAATCTTACCCATCAACATTTGGAATTTTCTTCCAAAATATCTCAAAGGATAAAACAAAGGTAAACACTTTCTCTTCACAGGGAAATATTTATTTCTGTGCTGTCCCAAGTTTTAAAGTAGGCATCCAAAAGCCAGATCTAAAGAAGTTACCTGATGCTATCACATTATTTAGCATTTATAGAGCCAACAGGAAAAACTCTGGGTGCTTAAGAGTTTCTCTGGATATACAATGCAAACTCCTTATAAAAAAAAGCATTTGTAAGAGGGAGAGAAATAGCAGAAAGTAGCTATATGGCTAAAACGTACATCACAAACTCACTTCCCAAAGCAAACTTATAGCATGCAAGAATGTTTTTGTCTCAAAGGTGCAAGAATTTCTAGTTTAATTCTTACTCTGAATTCAATGAAAGCATTTATGGAGTTATCAAATATTCACTGCATGTAATAAAGAATAATACTGAAAGACATTTATCTACTACAGAGAGCAAAAGCAGTATCTTCACGAAAAGCAACTAAGTCAACCAATAAAATAATCAAAGTGGAATCTTGTTATCTCAAACCTACCCACGGTTGGAAAATAGGAGGAAATTTCAGTTTGGGGAGAACAAGGCTTCCCTTCTCTGACTATTTACATGCTTTTTGATTAACAAACAAGAGGTATAAGGCTGATAAAACCTGGCAGTCATCTCAGCAATAAGCTAGCTTCAGAGGGCAAACAGCAGCCTGGAAAGGATAGAGGTTAAATGAAAGAAATAGACTAGAAAAGAATAGAATAGAAAAGGAATGATAGGAAAGACTAGGAGAGAGGAAAGAAATTAATCTAAGACCAAAGTTCAGTGTACACTATCCTTCTGTCCATGTGATGCAGCTACTTTTTCCAATCCGCTCAATGTATGATGCTTCCAGACTGAACTGCCACCAAATTCAGAAAAATTCTGAGAATTTTGCTTTTTAAATAAAAGGTGAAATATTAAACAGAAGCTCATACAGTGCTTATTCAAACCTATCCAAAAGGAAGGAGGATTAATTAAAAAAATAGGATTAAGCAGAAAAACAAGATAAGGGATCTGTAAAAAGCCACCAGCAATTTGGGGTATCTAATGTTGAATGTGCCTTGGGAAAGGGAACAGGTTTCAGGAAATAATTAATTTCTTTCTGGGAGGGGGAAGTCCTCTTCCCCCTACAGCAAAAATCATGGAAACCAAATATCAGAAACACTGGTTGGCATTTCAGTTTTTTTCCATCTTCATTAAGTTATCCCATGTATTTGATGGCTAGTTTGCTAAACAAATGATTTTTTTTTCCCCCTCAGGGCAGTACTTGGCAACAAATTACTTATAGCTGAAGTTAATGTGCCAGCTTTGCAAGACATGAAATACCAAACCCAAGGACAATAATGGAGGCTGAAGGCATTCTTTTTGTTGTTAAAATATTTAAGAACAGTGAACAACTAGTTCGCTACCATGGCACCTAGCTTTCCAGGCAAGAGCACGGAGCAGTCTGCTTTGCAGATACCTACCAAATTATTGCGGTTTGGTCCTGGTCTCTCCCCATCTAACCGTGTTGGCATTTTCAAGCCACCGTATTTCTTCCAGTACGTCCAACAGGATGCACAGAGGCGACACTGCATGTTAGGGGGACCCCAAGAATACCACTGGTAAGACTGTGTGGCTAGAGATAACAAAGGTGGAAATTATATATATCCTTAAACAGTATCACTTTTCAGAGCTTATTTTCTTTAAAACCATCACAAAAGAAAACCCACATAAAGACAGCGCAAAGCTCAAACAGACCTTATAAACCTGATGATGGCTTCACCGTCATCACCACTGTTAAATGTACTTGTGATTTCAGCAGAATTAAATACACATATAAACCCCTTTTAAAACATGAACATTAAAAAAAATAACTAGTAGGATGGGAAAATTTCCTGCCAATGAAACTGAAAGTTCTCATTTTGCAAGACTAGTAGGCAACAATTTCTGCAGAGCATGGGAGAGAGAGAGGGAAGATTGTCTTCAGGAACTCCCCGTACATTAATTTTACAATGAAAGAACATTAGAAATCTGTGACTTGACTTCTCATATAGTCCTACATTCTCTAAAGGGTCCCCATGAAGGAGCACAATCATGAGAACTCAGTATATTAATATCAGGCAGTAGACCGAATATAATGATATCACATAGTTTGAAATCTACTTAAAAATTAACAAAAAATTGTCAAGTTCACCCCTTGGTGACTTAAACCTTGGCTCAACAGCTACCTGCAATTACAGAGGACATTTACTAACTCCTCCTTTACTACCTTATAATTTTATTTACAAACGTAACACCAGCAACCCCAAAACCCCCCTTGCTTAAACGCTGCTATGTCAAATTCTGTCGTGTCCCCCCCCGCCTTCCAAAGCCTTCTCTCCCACCCCCCACCACAACACAGCTTTTATTTTACTGTGCAGCACAGCATTCATGCCCTCTACGCAAAACTGCCATACTGGCACATCACTTACTATAACAGCTTTCACAGGCCCGTCCTGCTCCCGTGTTCTGTGCCTGTACTCCAGTACCATTTACCACTCCTGGTTTGACATTATTTACATTGATCTGGTTGGGGTTTGGCTTGTTACTTAAAACACAAAGCAAAAAGGAGGACAAAGATTAATTGAGATATGCAATTTCCTACTTGACTTTCAAAAGTATGGCCCAAAACCTCTGAAGATTCAAATTTTGTTCATCGCGTGACTTCCAGAACAATCACTACTTACCAGCAACCTGGCTTCCATATTTAAGTAACATCAATAATAATAATAAAAAAATAATGATGATAGTTAGTTGCCATATTCAAGAGTCCAACACCATTTAAAAACAATAAACCAGTGAGGCCAGGTACATATTTCACTATCCCAGACATTTTAATTAGGTGACAAAAAGATCTCACCTACAGATCTCTCAGTCTTCAACATGAGGGTTATGTTACTTAAATCTCCAAAAATAAGGCTGGGGGATGGAGCAGGAGAGGTAGGCAGAGAAAGGGCAACCCCTGCCTTACTCAGGGGTATTTGCAGTCACAAATATTTCCACGTTGTCTTGCTGCAAAGGTTTGCACGATGTAGCCACAATTCGCACAAGCACACCCAACACATTGAACAAAATCTTTGGACACAGCATATCACAGAGATTTTCATGAATATGAGCCTTCTGACAAGTCTTAAATTATGGTCTGTGCTTCTAACAGATAGCATTTAGGTTTGTACTAAGTGGGAAATCTGAATGCCTAACATCCATAGAGCAAGAAATGCATTGATGGCTGTCATTAATACATTCCAATAATACAACATCTGAATCACCTCCGCTCATCCCTATACTCTCTAAAAAATGTTGACTCAGTGGGAAACAAAACAAAAAAAAAAAAAAGAGAAGGAAAAAAAAGAAAAGAAAAAAGAAAAGAAAAGAAAAGCTCCTGGCAGGAGCTGAGAGTGGAAGGGCAAACAAAACCTTGGCACCGAGAGCAGTATGGAAGAGTACAAAATCTCTGCAGAGGAATAAGTGTCCGAGGGGCAAAATGAGGCATTCAAAAAATCCTTGGCGTGGGAGGGAACGAGAGTGACAGCAGATTGGTATTGCAGGGACAGGACTTCTGGGGAACAGAGGAAGATAGAAGTCACACAAGAAGTTTCAAAACAAGAACACACAAGGAGCGTATAAAACACGCAAGGACTCCCAGGTGCTGTTAGGAGCTCAGCTTATAGGAGCAACAAAAAGCAGGCAGCCTTTGGTGCCAAATTCTGAACATAACCCCAAACTGTAATGCCGATTACATTTCCCTCATATTCTCTTACCTGAAGACTGAAGGGAGTGGGCATATTCCCTTCATTTCCAACTAATAAACCCATGATTTGGAATCTACTTATTCAAGCAGAAATATCTTAAAATGGCTTTCTGAAAACACATTTTCTTACACCTCAGTTGCACGCTGACATAGGAGTCACAAGGATTTCAGTGACCCAGAATACTTAATACTTTTCACCCTGGCTAGTGCTGCAAAAACAGCATTGTGGGAATACAGCCAAATTAATTTCTTTCTAATGGGGCATCAATATTAGGTTTCACATTCTCAGCAATGACCCCTGAGAGGAAAGGAGTTCCAAGTGACTGAATTCTGAAGACAACTGTCCCCCTCAGCTCCAGAAAAAACCCAAACACCACTGCAAAGCCTAGCTTGCACTGCCCTGGAAGCCAGAAGGTCATCCTTCTCCTCACCTGAAAACGTCTGATCAGGCACAGAGTTACAGAGCCCAGTAAAGCTCCATTTCTATAGAGACAAAACAAATTTGGCTGTGAACGCCCTACAAGGACCACACGCACATTGCACAAGGAGGTAAGAGAGTATTTGCCCAGTCTCAGAAAAACTTGAGAGAGCATTCTGACGGTGCTTCTCGCTATAAAGTTCAGGCTCTTTTTGCAGAAGAGAAAGCTTAGGAGGCTACATGGCACAGAAACACTGTAAATAGTTTGTTCCTTTGGTACGCTGAGCAGCCTGTATACAGCCCAAAAGAAGCAGAGAAGAGAAAAAAAAAAAAGGCATTTAGATTAACAAGCCTGACTAGGTTTTCTTCTCCTTTTGCTTATTAATTTGCCCAGCTCTTACAAAGATTAAAGTGTCCTGGGTGCTTATCAGAACGGCCTGAAGTTCTGACACCACAGATGGCAGGAGATCTGCAGACACATTTAACAAAGGGAAAGTTGAAAGGAGGTACATTCATGCTACCCAGCGTTTTACTCTGGGATGTCACTATGGTAACCTGCTGCAAAAGAACTTTTGCCAATGATTCACTAGCAAACTCCATGTGCAAACATTACCAAGATGCTGTAAAACAAACAGTCCTCACAGATGCACACTGTTACAAACCAGTGTTGCTCAATAGAGCAGAAGACTGAAGTACAGAAAACTAAGGCTCCACTCCAGGTGTTATGGCTCAACATAAGGCATGTTGCTTCTCTTCTGTACATTGGTTTATCCTCTGAAAAACACAGTAAAGGTGTCTGAAATCCATCAGTAAAGCACACAGAAAGGTTTTTGGTTTTTTGAAAACCCTGTTGTGTCTGGTTGTAAACAGTTAGTTGAGAACAAGACTGCACATGTTGGTGTGCCCATCCAAAGTACTAACCTCACATGCAGAAAGGAGGGCGATGGCCTGACTCCGCTGTCCTCTCTACAACCTGTATCAAACTCAGATTTCAAACACAAGTGAAAGGGATGCACGGGCGAGAGCTGATCACCAAATCACACCGGTCACAAAACTGTCACGCTGTAGTTGTGGCAATAACTTCACTTCAGGATTTCGGAACAGTACAACTAATGTAGCTGCAACAAGCACCAGAAAGTGTGCTGCTCCAAAGCTAAGGTCAAGTTTCACAGGGGCAGTAACAATAAAATTTAGGCTGCTAAATGTCTTCATCGTATGAGAAGCAAAAAGCTCTTAATTGTTGGTGATACGTTAATTAAACTTGTTTGATACCACCAAAGCCTGCTACAGCTATTAACAAGAGAATTTGATGAATAACTGGATGAATCATTAGGCAATTAATGAAGCTGAAGGGAAAGATGCAAATAAGGTAGCGAGAATACTGATGGTGCAGTAAACTATCATTTCCAGTACTTACATCAAGAATGGAAGTCTTTTAAATGGGTTTCAGTTGCGCTGGAGCAGTCAGTTATATTAGAAGAGGGATCATGAAGTGCAGATTTATGGGCTGTATTCTGCAGGAGATGAGTCTCAACTAAAGGGATTAAGGTGCTAGAGCACATGCAGAAAGGCGGCACCGGAAGCCAGCCATCGCGGACTGAAGCCCCTGCCCTCCCAAAAAACCTCCAACCTGAAGATAACCCTGAGTCACGCAGAACACCGAAATCTCTTCACTAATGATTGACCGGCATTCAACCCACAGGTTAGTGATAATTTTTTAGCTGTTAAAAATAACTATAAACTTCACCGTGAATGTTTCCCGTTATTCAGGAAATCATAGTGGTGCTAGATGCAACAGAACAATTAAGAAATAAAGCCTCAGAAGCAAGAACAATTTTTAATCCTTTGTAAGGAACATTTATGCCATCTACCTCTAGGCAACTAATTCAGGTGCCTGGATTCCTTATCCAGACAACAGAGGTGAGCTCCCATCACAACTCTCCAGGCTTCTGTAAATACCCACTTCTAAGAACAGCTCTAATGACTGCTAAACAATGCTTTTTGAAAATTAGAAGCTTTCTCCAACAAAATGTTGAAAATTGCCACTTTAACTACTGCAGCTACAAAAGAACGGACAGCATTACACCTTTGTTTTCCATGCTGCAATGGACCTCTGCACAATTAAACAGGGAAGGAAAAAAGTCTTGCTCCTCGGGCAGAGGACGACCAAGAAACAGATGAAGGAATATTCACCCAAAGCTTTGACCTATTCCTCCAGTTTCCCTATTAGCTTAAAAAAAGGAGGCAGGGGAGGGAGAATAATATTTCCCTACATTACAAGTGTTTGTGAGGCAGCGTTTGTGGCTTGTCAAAATGCCTTGAGATTCTCCGGTAAAATATTGTAAGTAGTATGTATTAATTTACATTTTACAGATGTAAATTTAAAATTTACATTTTACATCAATACATTTTAGAGACTGGGGATTGTATGGAGCACTTAATTCTTCCCTTTCTGTTCTTACCCCTTCTGATATCACCTAGATCAAAGCAAAAGAGAGAAAAGCCACACAAAACTATGTCTCAGCCTTCGTGATTTGCAGATGTCCTAATCCCAAAAAGCACCAGCTACGCAACCAGACTTGTCATCAAAAAGAAGCAAATAACCAGTATGTATGTTGCCCATAAGATTAGTAAAACCAGAATACGACTTCCACAACAGCCTGAAGAGTATGTTTGGCTACACACTAGAAGGGGAAAGAGATTGAGACCACACCTGGAACAAGAAAGGTCTCCAAGCCCCGTGTTCATGCTGGCAGATGGCAGGATGAAGCATGTAAGAACGTGGAATCTCTTTGTGCACTCATGATTCTGCTACTGCTTTATTTAACACTCCCACTGACAGAAAAATTGCTACAGAAAATAAAAAGATTTTTTTTCAGTATTTCCTGAAAGCAGAAGTCAGCTGGTTTTATACTTCTTCCTTTCACCAGGAAAGCACATTAGTGCTTTTCAACCTAAGGAACGCATTACAAACCCATGCATACAAACATTGGGTTAAGTCACATCAACTACAGATGTCTGTCCCAAAACCAGGGGTGTTCCTGGAAGCAGCGCAGAAATGTTTGTCCAATATCTAGGATATTGGTTTAGGACTTGATAACTTAACATCAATTACCTGCACAACCCTGCACAGGGTACCAAATTTCTCCACACTTCAGTTCCCCACGTTATAAATTTGGGGCGCACTCTCAGGTTAAAAAAAAATCAACTATAAAGCTTCACATAGAGCTGTTATTTTTCACTGTATAATATGCATGTGACGTGATAAATAACCTTTGAATACTGCTTCTATTGTTTTTCTTATTATTTTCCTCCCTTCTCCCTAAATTTTCCTATTAACACCACAGGAAAAACAAGAGTCCTATCAGTGGAAGACAGCGAGACAAAAACAGAAAAGAAAATTGTTTGAGTCTGATATCCTCCTGGGTCTCTCTTTGCAAACAATTTTACACCAGTTATTGTTAGAATAGGTTTCACTCAATCAGCTGACACGCTTCTGCATAGGTCTTGTGACAGCCTGCATCAAGTAATTTATTTTCGAGGTGACAAGTGGATCATTATGGTTCAAGCCTCAAAACAGGAATGGGCTCAGTAACATGATAAGGACAAATCAATAACATTGATATTTAGATCTCTACACCATGTATTGCTATTACAAGCCAAGAATACAATCTTCTTCTAGGTCACAATATAATGTAGATGCAATACACTCCTTATGTGCCAGACCTTGTACTGAAACTTAAGTAGAAATAATAATAAAAAAAAATCTTAGAAATACTTAATTATTGCCACATTTGGCAGTATTAATAGCAAAAAAGCAGCAGAAACATTCAATGTGGGATTAAAGTCATGTACACAATTGTTACTTTTCCTGATACGCATGAAAGGATATTGAAGAGGGAGGAAAATTTGACACTCATTTTATCAATTAAACAATACGTAAGTTAAGGTATAACACTCACAAAATCAATCGTGACTGGAAATCAAAGCCAGAGACAAAAATAGCAACCACATGGGTAGAGACCGAAGTCTTTTCCTGAAGTAGAGAGGTAAGCTGCTGATTTGATTATATTCTCTAGATAGCAACACGAATTATCTTGCTGAGATACAGCGTTGAGGGATAAGATAGCACTCCAGACAGCCATTATCAAATGAGCACTATAACCTTTCAAATACAAAGCCATACCTACATACGTTACAATCCAAGAGCAACAGCAAGACTACCAGACTCTCTTGTCTGCAATATCCTTTTGCATCTGCAGTCTAAATTACATTGGCTTTTGCTATACAAGCTTATCACATTGTGAATTCATGTTTAATTTGATGCCCAGTGTCCCTGCAGAGTAACACCATCCACAAAAAGCAATACTGTTGAAAAATCGCATGACAAGAAATCTATTTGGCTCACTCTGAATATTACACCTGATTTTTAGTAAATTCACCTGAGAGACATCGACATATTTCAAAGCAAAAAATAAATCAGGGATCCTGTATTTTCACAAGAAATAAGGGACTGTCTTGCAACTTAAATACGCAAAACTTAGCTTTGCCTTAAGTAACAGAACACATGGTAGAAGTTCATAAATATTTGAAAGGAGATACCATAAAAGAGTAAAGGAGTTATTTGAGATAATACACACGGGAACGTATCTGGAAGTGAAAGTTGAAAAGAGAAAGGACAGGAGAGATTTAAATTTCCACACTATAACAACTGTTTACTGGGTTATGCAGAGAAAAAGCAAGAGAAGAAACATATATATCTCTCTCTAAATCTAAAAATCACAGAATTATAGAATTGTTTAGGTTGGAAAAGACCTTTAAGATCATTGAGTCCAACTGTTAACCTAATACTGCCAAGTCCACCATGTCCCCTAGCATCACATCTACGCATCTTTTAAATACATCCAGGGATGGTGACTCAACCACTTCCCTGGGCAGCCTGTTCCACGGTTTGACAACCCTTTCAGTGAAGACATTTTTCCCGATATCCAATCTAAACCTCCCTTGGCACAACTTGAGGCTGTTTCCTCTTGTCCTATCACTTGTTACCTGGGAGAAGAAACCAACCCACAACTCCCTACAATCTCCTTTCAGGTAGGTGTAGAGAGTGATAAG